TAATGAAGGTCGGGCCTAAAGGAGGATTGGCCGAGAAGGTCGTGGACGAGGCCGAAGGTCAGAAAGTTATGTTTGCAAACCAAATGGATATAGATGAGGAAGAGGATGCTATCTACTTCAACGATAGTAGCGATACCTACCACTTCGGGTATTCGAACATCACCTCTCTATTATTATTTCTAAAAAAAACTGAAACCAAGATCTGGATTATTTTAGCGTTCTATATTGAGTTGGTTAGAAATAATAATTTTTATCTTTATATTTATACTTGTGTTTTATAGTTTTCATAAAATATTGCAAACTGCAAATGCAAATAAATTTTCTCCTTCTAATGTTTGAGGCTTACAATTAAAAGATAAATTGTAGTAAGTAAATGTTATGTTGTTATATTTGGAGCAGGGACGTATTCTACGCGTTTCTTTGCGGCGAAAAGACGGGAAGAGCGATTCGATACGACAAGAAGACGAAAGAAGCCAAAGTTATAATGGACCGTCTTCATTTCCCTAATGGTCTTGCCTTAAGCAAAGATGGTTCGTTCGTGCTTTCATGTGAGGTTCCAACGCAACTTGTGCATCGATATTGGGCCAAGGGACCAAAAGCCGGGACTCGTGACATATTCGCAAAGCTCCCTGGCTACGCTGATAACATCAGAAGGACCGAGACAGGGGATTTCTGGGTTGCCTTGCATTCCAAGAAAACTCCTTTTTCAAGGTTATCTATGATCCACCCATGGGTAGGGAAATTTTTCATAAAGACGTTGAAGATGGAGCTCTTACTTTTTCTTTTCGAAGGAGGGAAGCCTCACGCCGTCGCCGTGAAACTTTCTGGCAAGACCGGAGAGATTATGGAGATTCTTGAGGATAGTGAAGGGAAGAATATGAAGTTTATAAGTGAGGTTCAAGAGAGAGATGGTAGGCTCTGGTTTGGGTCTGTGTTTCTGCCTTCAGTTTGGGTTCTTGACCGTCAGTGATTTATACGATTACATTATTTAAGTTTTTCAGTAAGTGCCATCATTGGCGAATATTTCCCTCTACATTAATACTTTCTCATGTGTGTGGATTTGATGATAATTAAAGGTTTTAACTTAAAAGTTTTTTCTGTATCCGGTTAGATATGCATTTAAATACCTCAAAACTCTTGATCTTATAAATTTTCTGAAATGTTAGTTTAATTTTTCTTGTTAAAGTAATTTTGGTTTCTTTATGGTTTACTCTCCTTTCAATGCGAGGATCCATTTATCAATTTGATTTTGTTTAGAGTTTTTTTAGTTTGGGTTTTAATGTTAATATATCCAAATGAAAAGTAACTTATATAAAATCCTACCTATAATCTCAAACTATGAATATATTCTTGCCGACGAAAATGTTTTCTTTTATCTTTGTATTACTTGAAAACCAAGATATCAGGAAATTGCGAGTCTACTGACCGGCATGCGCAGTCCAGGATTAGAGTGGGATATTTGTATACATAAGGAGGTCACATTACTTTTTAGATTTCTTCCTTTAATTGGTTCTGATGTTTTTGGAATTGTTTGTTTGGAAGGATTTGATAACAAATACAATACAAACATAAAAAAAAAATGGTCAGAACTCAGAAGGCAACACAACGAATAGGTTGCCGAGTGGGGCTCATGCCGTTGTTTCTTCTGCCCACTGCCCCTTTCTCTTACTTTTATCTTTATATTTTGTGGTAAAAATTTATGTTACATTTATACATATAATATTAAACTAATATTCGAACAAAACCATTTTTTATTTGCTACAAGATTTCACAAGTCAAACAAAAACATTTATTATTATAATTAATCTCCGAGCATTTTATTTCACTTTTGGTTTTAAATTTTCGAAATTGTTATCTCAATTCTCATCCTTTGATATTCTGTGCAAAGGAAATTTTATTTTCCATATAGATACTATTATTTTTTGATGAATAACATTTACACTTTACCCAAACTTGTAAACTTGAATGGAAAAAAAAATTATATAAAAGATAATCCTAAAATTTGACAATGAAGTAAATGTGGCCCTCAATATCCGGCATTTGCAAGCAAATCATACCATCTACATGAATATATATACCAAAATGAAATGCTTTATTAGGAAGGAAATCTTTGACATAAAAAAAATAAACATAAGATAAGACAAAAGAAAAAGGGAAAATAACAACGAGTTATATATCCTTTAACAAGAAGAAAATGAAACAGAAAAAGAAAAAATAACAAGCGAATCCACAAATCCCAAGAATACAAAAAATTTAATTCCAAAAGAATATTTTGACACGAATTCGACATGTAGAAGATAAACTATTAATTATTTCTGATACCTTATATATATAACCACTAGAACTCTTACCACCACAAAAACAAAACAAAAAACAAACATTATAGGGAAAAAAATCTGAAGAAAATGATGAAACTCCTTTTGGTGGTGGCAATATCTTTTGCTCTTCTCTTTAGCCTCACTGATTTTTCCGGTGAGAGACCAAAACATGGAGACTCCATGTTGACAGTCCAATTCCCTGATTTCCGTCTGATTCCGACCACCGGAGCTTTGGGACCGGAGAGTTTTGTCTTCGATTTTTCCGGTGACGGTCCTTACACCGGTTTATCTGACGGTCGAATTGTTAAGTGGCTAGCTAATGATAGCCGTTGGATCGATTTCGCCGTCACCACCTCCACAAGGTACTCACAAATGTCTCCTTCATTTTTTTTTTTATAACTTTGATTGGAGTTTTTTTTTCGTCGTTTAGTTTTTTGGTTTTAACTCCTTCAATTGTATCCACCAACTTCCTCTGTCCCATCGAAATTATTGACTTACTTATCAGAACAACAAAATTACCTCCTTTGCAGTTCTAACAATGAAGGAATACATTGGGTTGTTTGATCGTTTAATTTATTATAGTTAGTTATTATTCCTGACTAAACGATGAAAGGTACTTCTTTTGTTTCTGCATATGTACTTCAACTTTTCACGTGGTCAACTTGGATGTTTTTAAAATTGCAAATTTAACTTTCTGAAACACAATTTAGCATGCATGTGAAGTTCCCATTTTGGGGGATTCTAAAACTCAATTGCATGTGCATATATTTGTGTATTTTGACTATGAAACTTAATTGCTTCTTTAGTTTTTCTCGTGTTGTGAAACGTTGTAATGTTTTTAAGAAATGTAAATTAAATGCTGACGGCTAAAGAAGGACTGAGGAGTAACAAAATGGAATGCATAGAATGTGTTATTGACTTTTGGTGGCCCGGGTTTGCTAACAAATACTCTTCTGAAACATTTCATATAGATAAAAATAGTTTACTGAAAATATAGAAATATAAAATACACTTAGTTTTAGGTAAAAGATAAATAATTCGGTTTGAAAAGCCACATTAAAAATAGTACTACGAGACAACATTTGTTTGAGAAAAATTTTTTGAAACTCCTAAACCTGAGTTCAATTTTTCTTGGAAACAAAAATACATTGTTTGGGAAGTCTGTCAGTTGGACTTTGGCCCAATTGGTTTATCTGGTAGCCAAAAATGCAGGCGGCCTGATTACCCTCTGGTACTTAGTCGGAAGGCATTCCAAACTCGAATAGGCAAAATGGTAGCCCGTAAGGGCTTAACCGTTAATACGGTAGACCAGTCCACTATGTAACACCTCGATGTGTTTCTATCGGAACCGACCGGATAGCCGATATGGTTTATCAAAAAAAGAAAAAAGAAAAAAAAAACAAAAACTCTACAACAACAATTTCTTTTGTGAAACTGAGAGAGTGGCAAATAAAACTTCTCATTACACTCGGGCCTCGGGGCCTTTAAAATAGTTCTGAAGAATAATTAATGTTGGCAAATTTATGTGTTGTTTGATTTAATGCAGAGAAGGTTGTGAGGGCCCGCACGAGCACCAACGAACAGAACACGTGTGTGGACGGCCATTGGGCCTTGCCTTTGACAAATCCACTGGTGACCTTTATATAGCCGATGCTTATATGGGCCTTCTTAAAGTTGGCCCAACAGGTGGTGTAGCCAATCAAGTTTTGCCACGTGAGCTGAATGAGGCCCTTCGATTTACCAATTCATTGGATATCGATCCACAAACCGGAGTTATCTACTTTACCGACAGTAGTTCGGTTTATCAACGGAGGTAAAACTATGGGAAATTAAATTATCTTAAATAGATAGCATGTTAAAAAAATATATATATATATATTGTTTGAAATTGTTAATTTAGTGCGTAAATTGTTAATTTAAATTGTTTCTTTTTCCAGGAACTATATAGGGGCGATGATGAGTGGGGACAGAACCGGTAGACTGATGAAGTACGACCCAGATACGAAAGAAGTGACCACTCTTTTAAGCAACCTAGCGTTCCCAAACGGTGTCGTTTTAAGCCAAAACGGTGATTACCTTCTCGTCGTCGAGACCGCCACGTGTCGGGTTCTACGTTACTGGCTCAGCGCCACGTCGACGACGTGTAAATCTCGCGAGAACTACGAGATTTTCGCGGAGGGGCTCCCTGGGTTTCCCGACAACATAAAGAGGAGTCCACGTGGCGGATTCTGGGTAGGCTTGAACACGAAACACTCAAAGCTGACAAAGTTCGCTATGTCGAACGCGTGGCTTGGACGCGCCGCCTTAGGCCTGCCGGTGGACTGGATGAAGATCCATTCGGTTTGGGCCAAGTACAACGGGAACGGCATGGCCGTGAGGTTGAGCGAGGATAGTGGCGTAATTTCGGAGGTATTCGAGGGTCAAAAAGGAAATAAGTGGATATCTATAAGTGAGGTTGAAGAAAGAGATGCAACTCTTTGGGTTGGATCGGTAAATACTCCTTTCGCTGGCATGTATAAAATCTAAAATTGATTAATACAGATGTGCTTTTCCAACATTAAAATTCATAGATAATTGGAAGATATATGCCCCTTAAATAATGATTTATTGTTTTTATTATAGTAGAAGCAGTTATTATTTATTCTTAATTTTTAGGATAATAAGTCTACATTAGGTACCTTCTTAGGCACTATATGTTAATTTCTTTTATTTTGACATACGAACGTAATGGTAATTAACCATGCATACAAACATAGAGAGTTTGTGTTACATGCCAAATCATGGCTTAGCTTCTTTCTTCTTCTTCTCTTTCTCCGTGGCCATTATCTTCTTGGAACAACAAGCACTACACTGTCCATATGCATAGCTTCCACAGCAACCGTACCTACATCCACGGCGTTGTTGGGGTTCAACATCGTTGGGCTCAACAGTTTCCGCAACCTCGTTGGCCTCGGCTGGACTCATGCAACAGTATAGGCACCCTCCATACCACAACCCACCGCAACATCCGAACCTACAACCACCACCCCAGACTTGCTGTGGCTCTACAACAGCGTCACTGGCCTCGACTTGGGCTTCCTCGATCTCGGGTTTAGGTTCACGTTGTTGCGGCTCTATGGCATCGCTTGCTTCAGTACTTGGCTTCACTTCATCTTTAGCTGCACGTGTGATATACATGTTATACAAAATGGATCAAATAATTTAATCATCAGTTATGCGCGCGAAAGTGTAAAAGGGAAATTATAAATATAGAGTTTTACATACCATGTGTGGCATCGTTGGATGTGTCCGCAAATACAGCGAGGGAGAGAGAAAAGAGCAAAGCCAAGAGAGCGAGAGACTTGAGGTTTCTCATTTTTTTTTTCGCTACACAAAACACTTAGCATGAGCTGATGAGCACAGCACATCTATTTATAGTTGGGCAGCAAAACTTGGCGACAAGAAACCAGTCAACTATGTCGAGTGATAGAAGATAATGACATACATATATATATATATATATATTTATGGGGATATTTCTAGAAAGACAATGTAACAAATAAATCATATTAAAAATCTTTACAAACCATGATAATAGATATGATCGAGAAGAGCCGTAAACTGATTCAGAGAGAGTATATAGAAGCTTTAATGCTATGAAATTTTTTCTACCCCTAACTAGTTTTCGTATAGTTAAGCTTTATATAGCCATATAGGGTGGATAGTTAGTTTCTATTCAAAATTCATGATTCTTAACATCCGTATCTTTTTTTGAAGCATATAGATTGATTATTTATTTTACAAAAAATCTCTCAAAATCAAAATCCTAAATCTTCTATCTTCTATACTATAAAACCTCTATAAATTAATAATGTTGGGACCATGATATTTTATTAATTTATAGTGATATTAATTTATCTATAAATTAATAATTATTAATTTATAGCATAATTTAATATTTATTAATTTATAGAAAGTTTTGTTTCAATTGTGAAAACTTTTTTAAAAAAAATACGAGCTAAAGCAACGTGATCTAAATAAAATTTATGTTTTGGATGTTATAAATTTTATAGTTTAGACTTAAATATTTAATATTTCGAAGAAAAAATAATTTCTTTTGACAATAACAGATTATAAAATTCACATATACAAACGATATACATAAATTAAAATCTACAAATAGTGACATCTATTGTTGTATTTCAATATCCTATACAACTATTAAAACAAAAATTATGCATATTCAAATTTGAAAACTTACAAAAGCTTTTGGCTATTTTTATGAAAAACACTAAAACTATTATATATATGTGCAAATTTACATGATTATTAATTTATGATATTATTGGGACTATATTTTTACATAGGGATTTCAAAAAACTTATTATCTTATCGAAATTGGTTAATTTTTACACTGGCCCGACTCGGGACTGGTAAAATTTATTAATTTATCCTGTTTATTAATTTATCGAGTATTAATTTATAGAGGTTCTACTGTATATTGAAAAGAAACATTGCATTTATATGTTTTTGTTTGGACAAAAAAAAATTATTTTTGTAATTTTTTTAGTCACAAAAGATAAATATCTGAAAATGCATTAAGAACAAAACAATTTAAAATTAAACATTACTTAAAAAAAAATCAAAACCCATTAAAAATTTATAAATATTTCGTGATATGCAAGTGAAGTTGAGATTTAATTTTTTTGAAACATTTTTTTATTCCACTGAATCATATATAATAAAAATATCACCAAATATCTTAGTGTATAATATGATTTTTGTTAGAAGAAGTTAAACCAATGTGTTATACACAAAATTTAAGTTTGCAAATATGCAAAATTTTCTAAGAGTACTTCTTTTTATCATGCAATAACATAATTCTTAATTTAAAATATATTTTTGAATTAATTATTACGTGTAATAATATGGATCAATACATAATATAAGTTAATTAAACGATACACGTCAGAAAAATAATACTTGAGAATATTTTAGAAATATCTCTTTTATAGTACTATTTACAAAAAAATGTCCATTACCAAAAATATTTTTAAAAATACTCATTTTAGAAATAATCTTTGATGCATATGACGGTTTTCGGTGGTTGGATCCCAAAATCATCTTTATAAAATTTTCTAAAACCTTTATGAAAAAAGTATAATTGAAAATGGAGAACACTTGAGAAGTTTTTTTTATAATACTGTAAAAAGAGTAGTTTTGAATTTCTTCCAAAATACCGTCAAATGTGAAAAAGGTATATATTATTTTAATTACGCATCATAATTTAAATTACATCATAAATTTAGTAGTAACTCACGTTTTATTTATTAATTAGTTCCAAAACAATTTTAAGGTATATTTGTCAATTTGTGGACAACATACTGTAGCTCTGAAAAATGAAACGTAAGTTGTTATATTTGCAAGTAATGAGTTATTTAGTATTATGAACAGATAAAAACATGAAATGATTCTTTTTAATTTGCTTACAAGAAGAGGAGTCTAATACATACTGTTAGCCAAAATTTTGAAAAATTATTGAATTTTATCCTTTTTCATACTGAAATATTCACTCGAGTAAAATAATTCATATATTAAAATACCTGTTTAATTTTAATGTATTAAATAATGACAGGTTAATGATAAGTTGACAACATCAATAAGATAATAATCATATGGTTAATCGGCTGGAAAAAACTCGAGTATATTTTCTACGACCAAAATCAAATTAACAAAATGTTTTTTTTTTTTTTTGGTGTGGTCCAAAAACCCATAAATAAGAGTTGAACGTTGAAAGCGATTTCAAGCTTCCAGAGGTTCAACAGCTAAACTCTTCTCTGTGGTTCCATGTGTAAATGCTATGCCCTTTACATAACCTATGGGAATTACACGTGTCCAACTAGTCACAATGTCCAATTCTTTTCAAACCCACCGTTCGAAATGATAATGTTAGCTTCTATACATTCCAAAACCGACCGTTGGGCCTTGCCTTTGACAAATCCACCGGTGACCTTTATGTCGCCGAACGCCGATATGGGCCTTCTTAAAGTTTGCCCAACAGGTGGTGTGCCCAACCAGGTGTTGCCACGTGAGCTGAATGATGCCCTTGGGCCTTGGGTTTACCAATTTGGATATCGATCCACGGACCGGAGTTATCTACTTTACAGACAGTAGTTCCGTTTATCAACGGAGGTAAAATTATAGGAAATTAAATTATCTTAAATAAAGAGCATGTTTACATTAATAAAAAGAGCATGTTTATATGATGGATTAGTGCGCAAATTGTTAAATTAAATTGATTTATTTTCAGGAATAGGGGTGATTATGAGTGGAGCAAACCCGGTAGACTTATGACCCAACAATTGACCACACTTCTAAGCAACCTAGTGTTCGCAAACGGCGTCGTTGGGAGCAAAAACGGTGATTACTTTCTCGTCGTCGAAACCACCACGTGTCGAATCCTACGTTACTGGCTCAACGCTACGTCGATAATGTCTAAATCTCGCGAGAACAACGTAATTTTCGCGGAGAGACCCTTGGCTTTTCCAACAACGTAAAGAGAAATCCACGTGGCGGATTGGGGGTAGGCTTGAACACGAAACACTCAAAGCTAATAAAGTTCGCCATATCGAACGCGTGGCTTGGACGTGCCGGTTTGGGCCTGCTGGTGGACTGGATGAAGGTCCATTCGGTTTGGGCCAAGTAGGCAAGTACAAAGGGAACGGCATGGCCGTGAGTAGTGGCGTAATAATTTCGGAGGTTTTCTTGGCGTAAGAAAGAAAATGAAGTAATCTATTAGTGAAGTTGAAGAAAGAGTTGGGATTCTTTGGGTTGGATCGGTGAATAATCGTTGGCAATCTGGCATCTATCAAATCTAAAATTGATTAATACAAATATGCTTTTCCAACATTATAATTCATACATAACTAGAAGATATATGCCCCTTTACTACATGATTTTATATTTTTATAGTAGAACCTTTAATACATGATTTTATAGTAGAATGAGTTATTATTTATTCTTAATTTTTAGGATAATAAGTCTGTTTAGTTATTGAGCTAACTAGCTAGCTACATGCATGCCTTTTAATAATTTAAAATTTAAATTGTGAACAAAATATTATAATTGATATTAAAACAGTTGTTATTATTTTATAACATCCACGAGAAAAACACTAAACAAAATACATATTATATGAACCTACGGTTTATTTTTATTGAGCTCTAGGTACCTTCTTAGGCACTACTTTTGTTTTATTTTGACATACGAACGTAATGGTAATTAGCCATGCATGCATGCATACAAACATAGAGTTTGTGTTACACGCCAATTTATGGCTTAGCTTGTTGGGCCTCAACAGTTTCCACAACCTCGTTTGCCTCGGCTTGAGTCCTGCAACAGTATCTGCACCGTCCACGCCACCACCCACCACAACATCCGTACCTACAACCACCACGGCCACCGCCGCCACGACCACCCTGCTGAGGCTCAACATCGTTGGGCTCAACAGTTTCAACAACTTCGCTGGCCTCGGCTTGAGTCCTGCAACAGTATCTGCACCGCCCACGCCACCACCCACCGCAACATCCGTACCTACAACCACCACGGCCATCGCCGCCACCGCCACCACGGCCACCCTGCTGAGGCTCTACATCGTTGGGCTCAACAGTTTCAACAACTTCGCTGGCCTCGGCTTGAGTCCTGCAACAGTATCTGCACCGCCCACGCCACCAGCCACCGCAACATCCGTACCTACAACCACCACGGCCACCGCCGCCATCACCGCCACGGCCACCCTGCTGAGGCTCAACATCGTTGGGCTCAACAGTTTCCACAACTTCGTTGGCCTCGGCTGGACTCCTGCAACAGTATCTGCACCGTCCATACCACCACCCACCGCAACATCCGTACCTACAACCACCACCACCCCAGCCTTGCTGGGGCTCTACAACAGCGTCATTGGCCTCGACTTCGGCTCCCTCGATCTGGGGTTTACCTTCACGTTTTTGCGGCTCTATAGCATCGGTTGCTTCAGTACTTGGCTTCACTTCATCTTTAACTGCACGTGTGATATACATGTTATACACCATGGATCAAATATTTAGTCATCAGTTATGCGAAAGTGTAAAAGAGAAACTATAAATATAGTGTTGTACATACCATGTGTGGCATCGTTGGATGTGTTCGCAAAAACAGCGAGGGAGAAAGAAAAGAGCAAAGCCAAGAGAACGAGGGACTTGAGGTTTCTCATATTTTGTTTTCGTTACACAAAACACTTAGCTTGTTTGATTTGTTGAGGGAAGCTGATTTTGTTAGTGAAGAGAGTATGAGCACAGCACATCTATTTATAGTTGGGCCGCAAAACATGGCGACAAGAAACCAGTCAACTATGTCGAGTGAAGGAAGATAATGACATATTATATTTAAGGGGATATAGAAATAGAAAATGTGAAAAATGAATCATATTAAAAAATCTCTATAATCCATGATAATAGATATGATCGAGAAGAGTCTCATAAACTGGTTGAGAAAGATTATATATGATCTTTAATGCTATGAAGTTTTTTCTACCCTCTCTAGTTTTTTTTTCGCCTAGTTAAGCTTTAGCAGCTTAGCTATGGTGAATATATAGCTTCTATTCAAAATTCATAATTTTAACATCTATACATATTTGTCAATTTATTTATCGAATACTAATTTTGAAAGCATTTTGGAATTGAGGAATTTGTTTGATAATCCAATTGTGGAGTCTAATTAGGTAAACAACTTTGTTATATAGGTTAATTGAACGATG